AGCACTCTGGGAGGCCAAAGTGGGAAGTCAGGAGTTCAAGACCAACCTGAGTAAGAGTGACACCCCATTTCTACTAAAAATAGAAAAAATTAGCCAGGCATGGTGGGGCATGTCTGTAGTCCTAGCTACTCGGGAGGCTGAGGGAGGAGGATCGCTTGAGCCCAGGAGTTTGAGCCCAGGAGGTGCTGCTAGCCACAGCACCCTAGCCCGGGCAACAGAGTGAGACTCTGTATAAAAATAAATAAAGTAATAAGCACTTTCAGGAATCTCTTTGTTGAACTAGCACAACCTAGCACAAGGTAGATTAGCAGAGTTGAAGATGGCATGAAACAATAATCATCATGGTAGCATATGTACCAGGTACCATATGTACCAACTAATCTTCACAAGAACCTGTGGAGAGGTTCTGTTACCATCTCCATTTGCAGTTATGGAAAGGACGCACAGCTAGGAGGCGACAGCTGGGATTCGAACAGCCAGCGCTCCCTTTGCAGTTATGGAAAGGACGCACAGCTAGGAGGCGACAGCTGGGATTCGAACAGCCAGCGCTCTAAAGAATATGCTTAGTCCTTTCTGATCTGGCCAGCATCTCCATAGATTACTATTGAACAAGGATTGCTGATGAAATGAAATTTAGCCTCCAGAGCATGTTTCCTAAACCTGTGAAATTTTTTCCCCTGTATTTTGGGGGGAGGGGAGGGGGGAAGAATGCAGTTTTGGTAATGGGAAACTTTAAAAATTGGTGCTTGTTTGAAGACAGTTCTATGTCACTACTAATGGAAAAATGGCCTATTAACATTTCCTGGGTAAAGTCAACCCTTGAGGAGGTGACATTATTGTAAGGAAAAAAATATCACTGTTAATTGCCTTGTAAAAAGAATGCTCTTTTGACACTCTGAAATTTCCTTTTGTGCAATGACTTCTTTTCACCCTAAATTTTATGAAATAATGGATTTTAGAGACTGAATGCTCAGTCCGCCCTTCCTTTTCTAATATTAAAAAAAATTTTTTGTAAAAGAATTTGTGTTTGTCATTCAGATATATTTCTCTATATTTTTACTACTTATTCATTGGATGTGTTTACTTGAAATTTGTTTTCTGCATTCTTTCTTGTTTTAAAAATGTGATGGAAATGAAATTTTTAAATTAAATTTTATAAAATTTACATACAATAAAATTGACCATTTTTGGCATACGGTTTTATGAGTTTTAACATATGTATAAACTCATGTAACTACCACCACAATCAGGATCCAGAATGATTCTATCATCCCCCAAAATTCCCTCATGCTTCCCCTTGCCCAATCTAATCTCTAACAACTTCTGGTATGTTCTCTGTCCCTGTAGTAGTATTGCCTGTTCCAGAATATCAAAGAAATGTCTTCTTTCACTCAGCATAATGCCTTTGAGTTGCATCCAAGTGGTTGTATGTATCAATTGCTAATCCCTTTTTATTGCTGAGTAGTATTCTGTTGTGTGGATGTTCCACAGTGTGTTTATCCTTTTACCTGCTAAAGAACATTTAGATCGTTTCCAATTATGGGGGGATTATGAATACATCTACTGATAAACATTTGTGTACATATTTTTGTTTGAACATAAGTTTTCATTTCTTTAGATAAATCTCCAGAAATGGGATTGCTGGGTCATATGCTAAGTGTATGTTTAACTTTATAAGAAACTGCCAAACTATTTATCAGAATGGCAGTATTTTGCATTCTTACCAGCAATGTATAAACTTTTAAAAACTTGAATGCTATTTTAGATGCTCTTGGATTCGGTTTTAAGGAGATGCCCCATGGTAAAAGGAGGACTTCTAGGTCCTCCATAGCAGCTTCAAAGAGAACTGCTCCAGCTTCATCTGCTGTGTATAATTGGAGTTCCATGTAAGAATACATTTGAGGAGAAAAGAGGTTTATCTGCAATGTGTTTAAAAACCGTTGCATTAGGGCCAGTGCATCCACAGTGTAGTATGTGGACCGTGAGTGTTACCCAGGGTGGTGCTTGGGGTACTTGGGGACTTTGCACATAGTGAGGACCACACTGAGAAAACGATTCCCTCTTCAGCTCCATTTGGATCTGTGTGATTATGTTAAGAAAGTCTTCATTTAAATCTAATGCATCTTTAGCCTTCTCCAACCCTTGCTAATATCTTCTTTTACAAAGAGGGAGCATGCTCCAGTCTCAGAGCCTTCAGCAAGTAATAGTATCTATCTAGAATGAAATCAAAATATAGCTTTGTTTTTAATGTATTTACTTTTATGATTAACTTCTCATTTGTGACAAGTACCACTGGTTTTTCCATTTTCCTTTTGAAGTAAATTCATGTTATATTTTAAAAAATGGATCCATTTAAAGAAAAATATTAAATATTGTCTTATGTAGCTTATATACAAATATGGCAAGAATTATTAGGATGTGCTAGAATGACCAAGGTTTGGGAAACTCTGAACTAGGGTATCTGATTATTTGAAGAAACTTTGAAGTGAATTTTTTTTGTGTGAAGAGCTCTTTGGTAAAGCACATAACTATCTCTTATGAGTTTATTGTTTATATAATAGTAATTTCTTAAAAGAAGACAGTCTTCCATTGCTCTTTGTTTTTACAGTACTTTTCAAGTTTCTTCTTTATTCACTGATTAGGCAAATATTTATTAAAGTTATTAGGTGGGCAATGGGGATACGGTGTTGAACTAAACAGACAATATCCCCTTCCCTTGTGAAATTTACTTTCTTAAATCCTTCTTCCTTCCCCTCAGAGAGAGGCTGTTCAGGGTCCAAGGAAAACAAGGACCCCCAAATAAAATTTAAATGATGTGAAAGACAAGGAAGAGTTAAACGACTTTCTAAAAACATATGTTTTAATAGATTCAAAGGGGGAAAGAATTTTATTTTCCTCATATTTTTGGAGCCATCTAGATATGTACGTTGTCTTCTATTTGGTGCATTTTTGCATTTTGGTATAAAATAATATGTACCCACAAACATAATGATAAACTACATTTTTGATGTTCCTTCCAACTTTAAGTACATGAGGTAGGGTGTCACAGACAAGGAGCAGTCTTGGTGTTAGAATACCCATCGATGCTCAGACCTCTCTGAAATTGGACATCGTTTAGATTAGAGGTCATAAATCAGCAGCTGCCTGAGTTCTGTTCAGCCCATTGGTGTTTCTTGTTTGGCCCACATGATTTTTTAAAAACGAGTTTCCAACATTTACAAAATCAGGAGTGTTCACATTTATAAAAAAAAAAACAGATTTTTTTTTGTTTGTTTATTTTGAAAAGTCGTGAATCTGGCACTGTTGAGCCAGCTTTTCTGAATGGCAGAGTTGGCTCGAACCGGGTAGTGGCTGCCTGTAGATAGAGCATGTGTTCTCTTTGGGTAACCTCAGCTTAACTCACTCAGTTATTTGCCTGGCCCTAGTGAGTATTTGAATTCACAACCCCTGGATCCTGGATTTCATGCATGATGGGTTTCCCTAGAGAAGCTGAGCATTCCTCCCTGTGCCGGAGGGCTGAAAATGTTGCCGGGGAAGCTGACTGAGTGTCCACCTGGATGTATCTCCTAGCGTAGCGGGTGTGATACTGGACCTAGGAGGCAGAGATGAGGGTCCTCTCCCTGGCTAGTGCCAGTCAGCTTGTTTTGGCTCCTTCACAGCGAAGATACTATTTTCTGCCTTATCTGTTTGTACTAGTCCAGGTTTTTGATAAGCAACAGAAGCAGCTTCTAGTGAATGTAAATCAGATGAGACTTTATTGAAAGGATATTAGATAACCGAAACTATCAAAAGAAAAGAGAATGATCTGGACTCAGAAAGTTCAGGAAACTAGGGATACTTTGAAGACCATGGGTGGTAGGAACTAAGGAAATTGGTAAATTGCCTCCAATTTTTTCCCCTTTCTTTGTCTTTCCTCTCAAGAGTTTAAAGTCTTGGAAAAGAGAATCAAGTTGGCCTGGCCCACGTCCTTGATAGGGGAGGCAAGACACCTTGGTTGACAGTCCTTCTAAGACTACATACACTAAAACAAGACTTCCCCAAGAGGAGATCCGGATGCTTTTGCCAGACAGAAGGGGATGGGGATGGATGTAGGCAACAGAAACAACAAATGTTCCCTACACCTCTTCTCAAGGTTGTCATGAAGATATTAAATATGCACTGTAAAATGCTATAGAGGATTAAGGAAGTAGTATTTCAAGTTACAGGAGAATCATATTATGAGTGTGCTCTTTAAGTAAGCAAATGTATTGGCACCGGTTAGATAAGGAATATATTGAGTGACTAGAACACAGAAAGTGACAATTTCATTCCTTTTAGCAATTGCCTTGGTTATAAAATCTCCAAAGAAGCTACACTAACTTTAAATTAAAAACATCATTTATAAAATCTAAAGATTTTCATTGAAGTATTCATTCATAGAAATGTTCTTTCTGATTTTTGGACTTCTTGTTTCTTTTTGTTGTAAGCTCTTGATTTGCAGCAGGCAAGGAAAATGAGTAAATCTTCCCCACCTCCCCCCCCCCAAAAAAATTGCCAGCACGGGTAGAAATTGAAAGTAATGATTCAAATAAGAGAGGCAGTGCAGAAAGCCTCAGCTGGGTGGCAGGAAACAGAGCAGAAGTCAGAGACTGCTCTTTTTTAAAAAGGCAAAACAACTCGCAGTGAAGTGTACGTGAAAATCATTTCTAATAATAGCTCATGGTAGGCAGTGCGCAGGAAAAAAATCATTGGTGTGCTGAGAAAATTAGAGTAAGAATGCACAGTGTCTTGATGTGTTACTTAAGGCAATGGAGCTTTAGAGTTTACCTTCTGTGCCATGTACATTGATTAAATACAAAATATATGCTGGCCATTTTTGACCATCATTTACTGTATTGATTTGTTAGCAGGGGAACTGTAATAAAAAAGCCATTGATTTACTGTCCTTATTTGCTTATGGGCTTTTTTTTATTATTAATTTTTCTCTTTCTCTTTCTCTTTTTTTGGCTCATTTCTTGTAGACAAATGCCGTGCTTCGCGAAGTTAAAAGAGAGGGGCTCCCCGTGGAACAAAGGAATGAAATCTTGACTGCCATCCTCGCCTCGCTCACCACCCGCCAGAACCTGAGGAGGGAATGGCATGCCAGGTTAGTTCTGCTATGGAATGGGGCTTGTCGTCTCTGACAAACAAGAGCTGTATTTGGCTACATCCTTCCCTGCGGCTGGTCTCATCTCTCCCATTTGAGGGGCCATGAAAAATAAGCAAGTTTAAGATGCTTTCAGCTAAAGTTAGCTTTCCTGCCCATGGTACCTACATTGTAATGATCCACGACATCATCTGTGTTTCTATTATTGATTCCGGTGTGTAACATTTAGCATAAATGTTTGCGTCTTGAGCATAATGTAATATTAATATAAGTACCTGTTATTGAAGAACCCTTTTTAATCAACAGGCTAAAGTACCAGCATTGCTCTTTAGTTAGGGCAGATGTCTGGGAAATCCATATAGTGCTCTTGTGCCACCGATGTGGGGCAGGTTACTTGAAAATACAAGCATATGTCACTTAACAATAGGGATATATTCCAAGAAATGCATCATCAGGCAATTTCGTTGTTGCGTGAACATCATAGAGTGCACTTACACAAGCCTAGATGGTGTATCCTTCTACACGCCTAGGCCTAGTGCTCCTGAGCTACAAACATGTGCAGCATATTACCGTACTGACTACTGTAGGCAATTGTAATACAGTGGTAAGTATTTGCGTATCTAAACATATCTAAACATAGAAAAAGTACAGTAAGATATGGTATTATCTTATGGGATACGACCACTGTTGTATATGTGGTCTGCTGTTGACTGAAACATTGTTATGTGGCCATGACTATAGTTTATTTATCAACCCCATTTTCAGAATTGACCAAGTAGGAATTACTTTTGCTTCAACCTTCTTTCTTTCCATATGGAGTTACCTATGGTTAGAAAGCTGTTAACTGATGGAAAGTTTCTATAAATCATCAGCTTTTACAGAATTGATACTTGCAGAGTGAATATCACGTTAGCCTATTTTTTTAATTAAAAAATCGATACGTGGAAGACTAGAACTAGTTCCTCCAAATGTTGGGATTATTCTTTAGATCTGCAGTTTGCAAAATTTATTGAATTATCATCTGTTTCTAAGCAAGAGGGAGAGGAACTGGGAAGATTATGGTATATTTTGCCTCAGAGTCTTACTTGACGCTTAAACATTCTATGTGCTTAGGAATCAAGAACATTTATTGATAGCCATAATATTCTCCAAATGACTTCATGCAACAGAATTTACATTAATTGATAGCTTTACTAGTAATAATTATCATAAAAATAGATTTGTCCTAACAAGACTGAAGATGCGCATTTTCCAAGAAAGGAGACAGTGTAAGTATTGATTCCCATTGGATATCAGAAAGCTGCTTTTTCAAATATGTGTATTATCTCTAAATTCAAACTTGCATTTAAACAATAATTTTAAAATTATTTCCAGTGATATCCACCACCTCCCTTTTGATAGTGTGCTCAGAGTAAATGGCAGCCAGTTTTAACTGTAGTAATGACTAAATGATTTCCAATTTAACTTTCAATAATTAGTTTTTAAATTATCTTTGTATTGCAAGTTTAAGTATGTTCATTCAAGTCTGCATATTTTATTAAATAATGGATTATCAGTGTGGGGACATCTAAGAGGCTTCTTCTCTTCCATTTGATGTTTTATTTCTTCCCCAGGATGGTTCTTATTAAATAGGAAAGAGAGGAAGAAAGAATTCCCCTGTAATCTCTCCCCCAGCCCCCTTCTCCCCAAGGACAGAGAGAGCACCAATGTTGAGAATGGATGTCTTTTGCTGAGTGCATTTGGTTTGTTAACAATAATTTCCTAATACACCAAATCATCAGACAACATGGCCAAAATGGCCTGTTTAAAAGGAGTCTGGTTTCAGCATTTCTGGCCCTCACTGCTAACAATTTAATCAGGAGCTGGAGCCAGTGTTGAAGTTGATGTAGTCTAGCATCTGAAACAAGAATTCTCAAGTCCTTTGTGTTAGGGGAGGAGGAAAGAAAGAGCTTAGCAGCTGACACTATGCAGACCTCCTTAAAACTAAACACCTGAAAGAGAATTTCAAGAGGCTAGTGTCTTGAGGGCTCAGAAGGAAAAGTGTCCTCAGAGTATTAAATAACCATAATCCTTCTCCCCACTCCTTCTCCACCCCCATTTGATGTTTCCCATCCCGGTGACCTATCTAAAAGGCTCGTCCATATGATCTGTATAAACAGACGGTTACCATGCACCTTTCTTTTCCTCATCAAAGCGTCATCTGGCCGTCTGGAACTGGGCATTGCCTCGAGTAGCCATCAAGCATGTGGTGGTGAAAGTTATAAAACATCCACTGCAGTGCTTACCGAGCTGCCTGTGTTTTAGAGATTGGCCTATTGTGTGCTTTGGACTTACATAGGAAAAATGTGCTTTGACAGAAAAAAACTAGCACTCACCAAAGGCCAAGCAATAGGTTGCAGTATTTTAGTTCCATCAAAGCTATCAGGGGATCAGTTAGATTAGATAATAGAAATTTTTTCCTCTGAAAGTTAAATACAGATGACTCTAATTACCTTATATTGCACGTTAGAGAATGCATTATGAATTGTACAGCTTCAAGAAATTCAGGTCAACTGAGCCCGCAGCTGGCAGTAACTTTAGTATAAGCCTTTCGTAATAAAGGTTTTGCCCCCCTCTTCAGCAGGTTCGTTTGCGATCACATTAGGGAGAATATTTTAAGTGAAACTTGTAATTTGGTTATAAAATCTTTGTATCTCTCTCAGGTCGAAAGCTAAGCCATTGTTTGGGGCTCACTGAAGTCTTTTAAACTGGAAGCATATGTTCCTTATAATTTAGCTTTTCGAACAAAGTGTCAATTCTGCATGACTTGGGGTAACCGAGTTTGTCACAGTGTCGCACATCGCTGCAATTCTCGAGGCACATCTGAGTGCTGTGGGTTTCCTTCCCCAAGCTCGGTAATCCCATAAACAACCCTCTCCAAATAGGCTTATTAGGGCTGTCTATTCACTTCCCCAGAGTTGAATGATCCAAAGTACATCAGGAGAAGCCGTGTGAATGCAGGGTAAGTGTTAACAGAAGTGGTACAGAATTTCTGAAGATTTGGCTTTGTTTATACAGTCCACTCCGCCTGATGGACAGCTTGTTATAGCTTTTAAAGAACTGGGCAAGCCCTCTGATCTGACCCCTTCTTGACCTCCGCAGCCCAAAGGTCAGTCTGCAGCTAATAAACCCGGAGGTTCTTAGGGTCTACTGTAGGAAAAGGCAGAAAAAGAGCAGCTGCAAGGATTGGGTGTCCCAGGATAGGCTGCTCGAGGGTCACTCTGTGATAATGAAAATGATTACCAAATTATATGGAAGTTTAACCGCAATAGTGAGCGAGAGGAGGGTGGAGCCCAGCGTATTAGGTTTGATAAATGAACTGTGAAGAGGCCCATCTGGCTCTCAACATCTTTTCTCCCCCTCTTTCCCTACCAAGGGGAAACATTTTAAAATAACAGCAGTACATATAGACTCAATGACCCATGCAAGGAGCTGGAATGGATTAAGATTTAATGGTGACAGTGGAAGAAATTATCATTTGAAAAGTACGCCAAAGAAAAGGTACAGTTCAATGTCCATGCCCAAGTTGTTTTTCTAAATAAAATGTAGGAAATATCAGTGCCTTGTTTATCTTACACAAATCCTCGGTGTCTTTCCTAGATTGCTGAAAATTTTGAGGGTGTTGTTCATTATGGAATAATTACTCATAGCTTCATGAATGGCATGGGCTTCTTTTGCCTCGAACATGTGAGAATGAGAATCAAACATTTTGTTCTGCCTGCTCGCTCAGTTTCAATAATGTAGATTAATCGAGCGTTAGAGAAAATGCTTCACGAAAAAAAACTGGTGTCCATTCCAGCATCGGACCACTGATTATTATGGATTTTTTGATACTTAACTTTATATGTGTGATTCTTAAACAATGTTTTATTCCTACTATGACCTGGCAGTTTTTCTGTAAAAATAAGAAGAAATCACATAATGTTAATTGAGTAGCTATGTTGGTTTGTTTCTTTATTCCTTTTTCAAAGAAACATCATGGCAATGCTAATTAGTGCCAACAGTGGATAGGCCACTGTCCGCTATATGTCCACTTACTGTTAATTGGTAAAGGTAATTCTCTTCAAAGCTCTCCCCAGTTTTTCATGAATGTGGACTGTCCTGACTTCCGACCAGTGATGTTGGAGGCCACAAAGCTCTGTCCTTTTCTGCAGAGATGACTGGCACATGCCATGATTCTATTTTATGGAACAAGAATGATTTTATGCAGTAAGCATCTTTTCGTATATTTTGTATACCTACTGCATACAAAATACCACATGAGATGCTGTACATACTATAGAGCATGCTAAGCAGCCAATTTAAGGTTTTATCTTGGGATAAGAATGCAGAAAGTTCCTAGAAAGAGCCTGTGGAAGGCAGTGAAAAGGAAACTAACTGGTGGAGCCATTGTCGCCACAAGAAAATGGCAAGTTGCTGTAACCCACTCAGGAAAGAATTTGATTGCAGATGTCTTGGGGGACTCGAATTGTTGTGGTATTGAAAACCCCTTATGTCAAACTGCATTTTCTACATAATACAAGCCTCACCCAGACAATAATTATATTAAAAATGGAAACAAAAGGCCTCTAAACGTTACCCAAAGTTAGCATATTTTTCGTTTCAGGTTTTGACTTGACTATGTATGTCTGCGGGGATTTAGAGTGAGCAGAAAGCTAGGCCAAGGATAATGCAGGGAGTCAAGGAACACTTTGAGATTTAGCTGTGCTTTTTAACTTGAAGGCCATGCTTCTAAATTTTTGCTACGTCAGGTGTAAATGCAAGAAATAAGACAAAAGCAAAGCCATTAGAGGTTTTTAAATTTTGAGATATATTCACATAACATAAAATTTCGAATAACATAAAAGCCATCATTTTAAAGCATACAATTATGTAATTTTTTTTTTTTTAGTATATATACAAGATCGTATAACCATTACCACCATCCAATTTCAGAACAGTTCAATTACCCCAAAGTGAAA